TTAATGACGACATTTGAAAATATTTTTAGTAGTTGTATTTTTTAATTAATATTTTTGTTAGAATGATTAAGTAACTTGAACGGCACTTAGAAAGCTAGTGCCTCCTACCTTCCATATAATATATATTTTTTTTTATGAATTAACCAAGGTGATTTACATTTTATAAGATATTATATGAAATATTATAATAAATGAATATTATGCTGTTTATATCGCAATATTTAAAATTCTTTTGTAGCATAAATGTAGAGAAAATTACACTATAATAACATATATTATGCTTCGAAACAATTTCCTTTTTGTATCAAGAAATTAAACCTTGATATTATGACAACATAAAAGCCAAAATGAATTTTATTTCTTAAATATAAGTTATCAATTTTTACATGTATCTAAATATAATGTGTAAATTAAAGTATTACATCTCCATAACCTAGTACTGATATATATTTATATATACACTTGACCATCATATTTAATATATTTTTGGTACAAGGTATACGATAATCGAACATACACGACATTTAAGAGCTCTCCAAAATAAAAAATACTACATTTATATCGATGACAATAAAGAATAGCCGGCCACCCATGAACTGAACAAAAAAAAAACATATTTGTTCCCTGTCATTGGGAATTAGTCTCTCTCTCTCTCTCTCTCTCTCTCTCTATATATATATATATATATATATGGATTGCATGTATAATTGGCGTTCGCTTTGATATATTTATTTGTTACGTTTTCTCCTTTGCAAATTAAAATTAATTTTTAGACTCGATTTATTAATCTTTTTTTTTATGTTTTGCTGTCACAAATCATAAACTGACTCATTAACTAGTTGAGTTCTATACATTATGCATGCAATATATATAACTAACTATATATGTAGGTAGATATAGAGACAGGTGTATACGACTTATGTAGCCGTATCGACCAATTCTAGTGTCGTCCCATTATATATTATTAACAATGCCACTTTTAAAATATGTATATATAGCTAGTACAGTTACTTTGGATCCTCAAGTTACTTATTAGCCTAGAGAAAGAGAGAGAAGGATATCACTATGGGTTCGGAAGGTGAGGCTAACATTCCTGTAATTGATTTCTCGACTGAAAAGCTTAAGGCAGGTACAAGTTCATGGGTGGCAGCTCGTGATTCAGTGCGTAGGGCACTAGAAGAACAAGGTTGGTTCATAGCTGAGTACGACCAAATTTCTTTAGACTTTCACAATTCTATCTTCAGCGTGACTGAGGAGGCGCTTGACCTTCCCCATGAGACTAAAATGAAAAACTTTAACCCTAAACCTTCTTTTGGTTACATGTCTAAAATATCAAATATTCCTTTACATGAAAGCTTGGGCATTGACGATGCCACTGTTCTTGAAGCATGCCAAAACTTCACAAAGCTCATGTGGCCACAAGGCAATGATCGCTTTTGGTAAAAATTGGAGTTATATTTTCTTTACAAACACTCGTAATTTTTTCTTTTTCATTCTTTTAAACAGAATAATAAATTCTTTAGTATAGTATAAAGTATTCTAAGAATATAGATGAAATAATATATTTTGTTTTTAATATGTTGCAGTGAATGTGCTCATTTGTATGCACAATTGGTGGCGAAACTTGAGCAAATAGTGATGAGAATGGTTTTTGAAAGCTACGGGATAGAAAAGCATTACGAGTCCCACGTAGAGTCTTCCACTTATCTCCTAAAACTAGTCAAATATATGAGACCCACAAAAGAAGAAGACAAGGTTGACTTTGTGTCCCACTCAGACAAGACCTTTTTAACTATACTTCATCAGAATCATGTTAAAGGTTTAGAGTTAAGAACAAAAGACGGAAGCTGGATTTTTTTTGAGCCCTCACCTTCTTCTTTTGTGGTTATGGCGGGTGATGCTTGCATGGTAAGTTACTTTATTTTTATTAATTAAATTGAGATATAGTATTCTATAGAAATAACCTTTACCTATATTATTATCAAATAAATGATATAATTGTAGAAGGTAATACTTAAAATTCTAGCTTTATGTATAGGTAGATTAATTTTGTCTTATGTTAATATAACCAAAGACCCTTTTGATATATCAAGTTCTAGGCTGGGTTTGTAAACTTGAGTAATTATTATTGTTTTCTAAAATCTTGATTTGGTCAATAAAATGCCACGAATTCTTCTAAAAGGCTTGATCGAGATATAAATTAGGGACCTCTTCAAGAATTACACTTATAATTAAGGCTTTGGCAAAGCTAAATAGACTATAATGAAATCTTGTAGAAAAGTTTTCAGTTTGTCCTTTTATTTACCCTTCAAATATGTTTTCAAGAATTTTGGTTTAATTATGATTAATTTTTGAAGTACTCATGTATTTGTTTAATTTTTAGGCGTGGAGTAACGAAAGGATTAAACCTGGTTACCACCGGATTCTCGTAGAGAATGAAAACGAAATAAGATATTCATTGGCATTTTTTTCATTTCAAAAAGACTTAATAAAAGTGCCAGAAGAACTTGTAGATGAAGAACATCCTTTACAATACAAGCCATTTGATCAAATTAGCTTTATTCGTTTCTATGTGAAAAGTGGTGGTAAAAAATGCAAGTACAACGTCCTCAAAGCTTATTGTGGTACTTGAAACTTCATTTGTAAACTAAATATATATGTAATAATGTTGGAAATATCCCAACTGTCTTTATGTAAAATGATGTGTGCCATGTTCTTTTTTCTAATTGGAAAAATAAAGTGTTTTGTACACTATGTTGTAATCTAGCATCATTTAAAATAAAATAATTGATCATTTGAATAAATATGACATAATAATTTGTTATAAATTTATAAAATATGAAACAATAAAGAACTCAACACATGTATAATGACGAGCCAAGTTATATATTCTTTTTGAAGGTTCCAAACTTGTAAAGACCCATAATTTAATAAATATAGAAATATTGAATCAATAAAATAGTATCAGAACTAATTTAGAGTTTAGGGTTCACATTTCTTATATAATGAATTGGGATGCCCAATAGGATTACCGAAATATCACTTTAAGAAAGTTTTTCAATAACAGAATAAATAAATAAAAGAAAACATAACTAAAGATCCTATGGAGTTAAGCTCCGCTGGGCAACTTTTGTGGAATGCAGGATGCTTCTTCATTCGTAACTTTCTTCTTACTATTGACGATTTGGATCTTGGTCTTCTTGATCTGAAAATGGTTAAATAGGGGGATGAGTTACAGTAACTTAGTAAGAATATCACGTTTAACACCGATACGAAAAATTAAAGGTTGGTAAAAATCATAAACAACTAATGGAGTCATTATTTCTTTTTAAATAAAATCATTTAACATAAAAATCATTATTCCTATACTTACCCTTATGAGTTTTCAAAACCAATCTATAAAGACAATAACTAGGATAGCATTTTATTTCATATTTAAATGAAGAATAATAGTAATTTACCTTCTTACCCGCTTACCAATGCCTCTATGGACCCCCTGTAAAGACCTCGAACGCAAAAGAAATGAATTTATATTTTAAATGTGGAAATGAATAATAATGTTACGGTTTACATTCTTTACACAGTAAATTGGATACCCATAGGGTTACAAAATGTCCCTCCTACATTTGGTTCATAAAAACACAAACAGTAGTTAAAACAATAAATAGATACC